TTCTTCTTATTCGTAACGTACAGTCATCGAGATTGAAAACCAACGTGTTACGTATTTTTCAACATAAAAATTTTATTTTCTTCGTTGACTGGTTCGACGGGTCTCGTTCGTGAAAAACGTAAAAACAACGCGGCTCTACCCTTTGCTCTTTCCATTCAACTGGTCAGAAGTCTAGCAGGAATAAAGAAACAAAATTCTGCTGTTCGACACTAAACGAGCTATTCTTTATAAAGGTCGTCGAAGCTAATTAATTTTTCATGCAAACTACGTCGTCGATCTCAAACGAGATTTCATGAATTACGTTTAATAAACCTGAATTTCCTATCTTTTTTTTTAAATCAACAGGTGGTAACAAAAGTACCTATGGTAACAAAAAAAAGAATTTTAATTTGAAGGTTAAAATAATTAGTCTTTGTTACTCTAATTAGGAAACTGTAACTCGAGAACTTTTATCTTGTAAAAGCTTCATAATGGGCTAAATTCCAACTGACGATGAATGTTATACAAATGAATTCCATAATTCCATTATTAATAAAATTATAATATTAATGAAGAAAAATCCTATAACGAAAGCAGAGAAATATCATCGTTAACCCGCTATCACCATCACTAATTAACGATGCGTATCTCTTAATCACTTTTTAAACTATTTCTGTGTCTTAATTACAACACGTGGAAGTTACATAGTCGAATAATAAATTAATATTAAAATAATGGCAGACTTGGCCATTACAGGAAATAGAACTTTGTTTAATTTTGCTGCTTGGGTTAATCGAATTTAATATTATTTCATAATTAAAATTCAAACCAATGGAAATTATTAACACACATCTATTTAACATTATTTATAAACTGACGTATTTCATTTTGTAATAATTCATTTTCTACTTTGATATTTTGTCGTAGAACCGATTAAGTTTTTATCATTTTTCATATTACGTCTAATTTACATAAAAGGTAATGACAAAGTGTCACTTTCTATTAAAAGTAGATATACGAGGTTTTCTTAATTAGAATTGTCACGATATGAAACATCAAATGGTTATTCTTTTCTTTTTATAAAGAATCACGGTTTAAAAGGCGGTTTAAACGTCGATTCGCTATAGTCTATAGAGTTACTTCCCAGTTGGAATTCATAGAGTAGATGCTGTAAATATCACTTTATTGACGGGCAAACGTTTGCGATAAATACTACTCGAGGCCATGTCCTTGTGCAAAATGTTTCCGATGTTTTGCTAGCATTGCAGTAGGCTTCATCATCGCGATTACTATTATGCACTTTCAATTGTCCTTTACGTATTATTATTATATTTTGTTTCAAAAACTTTGAATTAAATCAATGAAACCATCTTCCAAAGAAAATTATTATTCGTTCATAGAGGATGGGCCAGAAAAGCTCAATTTTTAAATAATTAGTTGTACAAATTAATTGGATGCTCCCTAGTATCACGCTATTTTAATTACTATTTTAAATTAGAATATTTTCTTTCTAGGTATTTGAAAACTGGCACGAAAGTATGATAACAGCAATTAATTTTCAATAAAAAAGAGAGCTACAAGATTAATTTGCACAGTTAATATTTCACCTTAAGAAAAATACGAATATTTCCTAAGGATACTGAAATAATTCATGAACAACTTCTTTATGAAATCTCAACTGATTCATGACTGTCGTTCCCGTACAATGCACCATGTTTTTAATTACACTCGGACAAATTAGATGTTTTGCTGAATGCACAATGTGTTTCTTTCAATCGCTACAGAGTTAATCTATTCTGATGTATCTCGAAATTATAGTCGTTCGAAGTAATTAGAATACTTTTAATCGTTTATTGAAAGCGAGAACTGTTTATTGAATTACTGAAATGATAAAAGTATTAATTAATAGAAATTCAAATCGTACGATCTTAGAATTTTATGCTTTCTTTAAACAAGATGACTATCGAAGTAAAAGTGACTATATTTAGAAAGACATATTAAAATTAGAATCATTAGCATGTTTATTGTCGCGTTGGTTATCTGTGTCAGGGTTTCGTATTTAATTTAATAAAATTAAAAAAAAAAAAAAAAAAAAAAAAAATGGAGATTCTGAATATGTAATTCCTATTTTGAAACTAATACAAATAGCAAACGGAGGAATTAAATAGAGAGAACAACTAGTGATAACTTTCATTAAAGCGTGTCTGACTACATGTCTGAATCTACTGTGACAGGAAACCTGCCACAGATGAGCCCTTAACTCAATTATATTTCACTTTGCTGCTTCATACTTATTTCTATATTTCTCTTCCGCAATTATTTAATTAAATTAAATTTCTGACGTCAATAACCGGTAGTCTTCGTTATAATCAACGCATTAAAGTAATTAACATCGCTACTTTTTCTACGGTTTCTCGATAGCTGGAATCGGTGGGTAATCATTAAATGACTGTCCAAACAATTCATTATTTCGGAACAGAATCTGGCAAACTGATAAGCAATGCAATTCGCAGTACATACCGCTGTTATCAACGGTATCATAATTCAATTGAAAAACATAGCCTGCTTAAAATAAATCATTAAAAGTGAACTGACGTAAAAGGAAGATTAGCGGTATTTAAAACGCTGCAAAGAAGACGTCAATGTATAATTAAAATCAGTGTGAATAATTTCTTCTTCTTTTTTCTATTCTACTTATAAAAAATACCATTTAGCCATTTTTATTGAGCAGTTCCGAGAAACGGTAAAGATCCTTGAATTCGATATCTGAATAACAGGAAAAAAGTCGATAAACAGATTCTTTTTCTAGGAAAAATAGTCCATTCGTTGCACATTTTAAATGCCTCAAAATCTCCTAATATTTCCTTATAAAAACCTGCTAATATCGCGGAAAAACGCGGGATGATAATAGGATAGAAGAAACTAGTAATACGAATCTATGGTAAGAACAGAGAACTCCATTCGCAGGATGTAACCATTTAAATATTTCAGTGAAAGTCTCACGAAATTCAGATGGCTCTAATTTTGTTATCGAGACGAGGCGCGGCAAACAGAGAAAGTAAATTGTCGGAACAGCCAGTCGGCAAATATGGAACTCAACAACACGAATGTTTAGCCGTTATACGTGGCTCTTTATTTTGAGAAACCGAATTGATATATCGAAGGTTTCGTCATCAGTTTCCTTCAGAGAAATCTGTTAACCCTTTCGTCGCTATAGGAGTCACCCCAGTGACAACCTGAAATTTTCTATAATCGAATAATTACTGAACGAATTTCGAGATCTTAGACGGATAAATATATCACGTGTAACTTTTATCACGTTTTCCTGGAAACACATTTTTTGGAAGCTGTTTGCACGCTCGTTCGGACAATTTTCAATATTTTTTTATTTCACGAAATTTCGTATCCGTGTAACTGATAAGATAATTTATCGCGAACCGAGTCATTTTCTTGATTTTTTAATTTTCGGGGCTTTATCCTGAAGTTTCTTAGGTACTTCACGGTTCAACCTTATCTCGAAATTCATAAATAACATTAAAATTCATAATAAATATTGAAAACAATCGTGGTTTGCACAATGCGTATCGTAATAACGCTTTATATTCACAATGTTAATCTCTGCAATGTCAAAACAGTTTTGTTTTCTGATTAAATAATTTGCGCCGAAAAATTTGCGCATCGCAAATACCTGATAATTGAACAACAATTTATACGAACAAAATATTTCGATAAAATTTATCGAGATCTCGTTCATTTTTCATGGATCATACCGAATGATCGACTGACCCATTACAGTCGACTGTCCGAGGACAGTTAATACACATAGATAATAAACATAATGTCAACTGCTATCTGTGTTCGACTTGTCGGTATAGATTGCAAGGTTGAAGTAATATCGTGACCTTTGCAATCTCTCTGTGCTCCAGGCTTCGTGTAATTTGCACCGTTCAATCTTGCATTAATTTTGTAACTATCCGTGTGTTGTTCACGATACAATTGAAAAAAGAGAAATAACAATAACGAGTGGAAAAGAAACGAGGCGAAAGAAAAAAAAAATATATCCACTTTAGATTGTCAGTATGCATAAAATTAATGTATCGTTTGCGTTCAAACAGCTTTCATTTTGTCGAAAACAAATATTATTATAATTGATAGCAAGAGGTAATCGTACATAATTCATACGTAATGTTTAATTTACGTTGGTAATCTAGGGTTAAAGTAAACAATGCTTAATGGATATCAAACTTTTAACCGGATTATTAATTAAGCAGTATTTTATGAATCTAAAACGGAGCAATTTGAATAAAATTATAGTATAAATTCTTGTATTTTACCGTTTTTATAGCCGAGACAGGAATGACGCTGACATTGACTGACACAGTGATAGGTACACGTGTATGGTCAGACACGTTATAGCACTAATTACCAAGAATACAATCGCATTATTTATTATTAATTTAAAATCAACATCATTCAAAATTTACCTTTTTCAATAATCATTTGAGGTAGCTGTCACTTATGACTCTCGTGGTAATTAACACTAGACATTTAAAAAACAGAAGCCAAATATTCAAAATGGTACTTCTCTATAAAAATTCAATACAAACGGCCCATGAAGCGTTCTATTGAAAACTTCAACTCTAATTATCTCTTAAGACTTAGGAATTTTTATTCTAGCTACCTAAACTTCTAATGATTTTTATAATTTTCTAAACCTAATTAATAAGCTTAATCTGAATAAATTTTTCCATCTTTCCCTCCCCCTCGATATTCATCACCCAAAATGAAATCCGAAGAATCTCTAAATCCCGCCAAATTCAATTTACCAAACGGCGCCGAGGCAATCTTTTTCCCTAAGAATCCGCAAAGTGAGTAATAAATAATTTATCGAATAATAGATATCGATTGATAAACGGTGCAGAAACGGATGTTATATCGAAAGGGGGTTAACGTCACGCGCATATCCGTTCACATTGACGGATCCTCCGACCTTATCTCATTAATAGAACAACGAGTCTGACCTTGGACCAGGCAAATCCATGGTGGTGGATCGATGATGCATCCTCTCGACAGTGCCGATGATCCCGCGATGAAGAATTTGCTGTTGCGGATGCTGAGGGTGCAGGTGTATCTGTTCCTGTTCCCTCCACATTGTTACTACCACTTTTAGAACGACTTCCGTGATACGATATATCAGTGATTCCTTTCAATTGCGTATCGTACTAGTTCGCGTTTCGATCTTTAAGTTCCGTTGCGCGTTTACAATGGAAATACCGATTCGATAGATCATCGTCACCGATCGTACCGTGTTCCATCGATCGTTTAATAACACCGAGTTTCTCTTTAATCACTATCCCTTTTCTTTTCCACGCCGCGAAACGAAACTGTGTCATTCAAACGAAGGATGAAACGTTCGAAACACTGGACTCGTCCTCGGCGTCGTTCGCCATATTGGAGAACCGATCGTCGGGCAAACAGCGAGAAAATCGACGTAGCGTTCGTGGCGCGTCTGTACGTTATCGTGCGACAACAACTCGGCGGCTTGTTTGTTGGGCGAATTAAAATTAGCCAGGTCGCCGGTTAATCTCGCCCGTTCGATCGCTCGCTGGCTGCCTCGTTTCTTCGGGGACAGATAAAAAGTGTCTTTATCTGCGTCGAATGGCGAGCAAACATTCGGCGGGATCAGTGGCAAGAGAGAAAACGAAGAACGGAGAAGGGAAAAAAATAAATGTCTTTAACTTTCGACGACCACGATGATCCGTTCCCTTATCCCGCCAAATTGTTACGTTAGTCCCTGTTGCACGTATTACGCATCGGCGATTAAGATGCGACGCGTTGCCGGCCTTGTTTTCGTAAAAGAAAATATACTGAAACGTATCGTCCTTGTAAGACGCAACGATAGGTTAAACGAGCGTCGCATTCCTTCGTTCGAAGCACAAATTTATTGTTTCTTACGGGCGTAATAACGATTCGAAATTAACACGTTTGATGAAAGCAGTGCGAGTCGAACGTCCCCCTTGGTTCGCGTGGCTCGCGAGAATTCGTTCCTCGATCCGTTCGCCAGATTACTCGACCTTGACACCGTGTTCTAGATGCCGACGACGCAGCAGGAAATCCGTAACCCGTGCGAATCGCAGCGATCGCGAGAGGGCATCGATCGACGGCTACGATCAATAACATTTAACCGTGGCCCGTGATGCACAGGATGGACTCCTCCGCCTCCACCGCCTGCTCCTCGACGACCTTCCGTTACATCGTGTGATAAAGCGAGACTCGCACACAATGTTACTCCGACGAATCTTCGGCCTTGACACACTAAATCTCTTTAGACTAAATGTCTTTTAGAACGTAGAAAATACTCGTCGACTATGCATTTACCATATAGGACACACGGTATACGTAGGCGGACTTTTATATTTTATTATTAAACGTCAGCCTCGAACGATCCTCGAGTATATCCTTATTTATATTACGCGCACGGTATAATCCAGTTTCGTATTTGTTGGCACACTTCACAGTTTGTTAATGAACGACGTTTAATTGTCAATGACACGGTGTAGATTCACGCGAATTGATAGGCTTTTCAGCGTGGCCGTGTTGATTCGGAGCGAAAACACTTGCCAGAAATAGACGCACGTACAGTGAGACGCAACGCGCACGGTAGTCGAACGCGAACTGCCGCCGTAGCGGTGCCCCCACTCCGCGCAACAATCGCGCTCATCCCCACCACTCCCGCGGCGGAGGCGACGATCAATCGCCGCGCCGCTTACAACCTTCCAATCCTATCCGCGCTAAGAGCGCGCAGCGTGATAACAGCACGGTTTTAGGCGGATCCCTTTGTAACGCTGTTTCCAACTCGCGCGATAAGAAACGAATTTGCGCGCGAAAATTCGAATACGCTTTTCCCGCGAAAAGAGAATCTTATCGAGTGCCTTTCGCTTCAAACATTATTGAAACTATTTAATACCTACTTTATTATCTCCGTGTTAATTATTCTGCTACGCGAGAGTATGTTGAAATATTTAAATTATTAAAACGATGTTTTAATTGAATCGAAACGATTCTCCAACGCAGAAATAAATAAAAATCGAACGAAGTATAGTAGAACCTTGAGAATAATTTAATAGAGAAATGTTGCATTCTTACCCGTACGAGATCGTTGTTTCCGGCACGGATGTAGAAGACAACGCGCCACCATCGTCCTCGTCCACGTCATCCTTCATTTTTTAAATTTTTCCTGAAACACGATTAAATAAATAATGTAATTACCTTGATGAATTATTATTTCTGTTTTTTTTTTTTTTTCTCTCGAGTCTCCTCGTCATTCTTTGCAAATATTTTGCCGAGTGTAAAGCGAGGTAAAAAAACGATAATACTTTCAATAGCAGAGAAGGAGAAAGGACACGTTGAACAGAAGACCACGATGACACCCGATTGATTGATAAGGTAAATAAATGATGCGCAAAGATACCGATAAAACTACTGTGAGAAATAACAAACGTCGTATGCAGTATAGTGACAGCTTGATGTGTAGCCGGTTGAATAAAAGATTCTGCTATAATGTCCATAGAAATCGTAGCACAAAACAACGCCGAGAATGCTATGAAATATCAGCCATGAGTAAAATCCATGACTCAATACAAAGAATTCAAACAACTCGAAGCTCTTCGATAAATCGTTCGAAACTACGGTCAAACGGTGACGATGCTCGAGGATAATCTATCGAGTTTGCCTGATACTTTTCTCTCAACAGCAACCAAGTTATTTCATGAAGACGATGTGTTATATTTCGCGATGATCAATCAAATTCTAATATTGAAACAGTAGGAATTACCGATGATTGAATACCACGAATAACTGAAAGAAATTGATTTAATAAAATTTTAATACTTGCAATCTATGGCTTTTGAAATCCTAAGAAGCTCTCACAATCAGACGAACAATGCATATTGTCAATATTATTGAATACGTGAAAGAACGGATTGACGTATTATTATTTCAAATATTGATGAGCTGGTTCGATGAAAGGCAAAATATTTGTGAGTGTTGACAAAATATTGACGATAGATATAATAATGGTTGCACAAGCTTTCCTTTAATGAGTCATTGTTGAAATTGAGTGCATTGTTCAGCTGTTGTTTAAAAAGTCTGTACAGTCGTTTCTTGCAAACTTAAAATTTCAAATTGATGCGGTAAAAGTGAAATTACAAAATCGATTATTTAGCATCTTAATTGAAAGGTAATGGAAGAGGCGTAATTTCATTTACACAAACTACTGTTTCTATAATCCGCTTAATCACCCTGGCAATTATTAATTATATAGACTCGATGCAGCGTACGAAATCCCGTTTCTATTCGGTGTAATTTAGCCGGCGACGTTAAATAGACACTGACAATGTTCATCGATACAGGGTAATCGAAGTAATTCGAGATACGTACGTGCTCACGAATGAATTTACATCGCGTGGGTCGATTGCGTATTCTCCTGGATAACAACGCTGATTCGAAACAATCAGCTGATGCAGCTTGGGATCAACGGAGCTTTTGATTTCCACGAACCTGCAATCCCGTTACACGGTACACGATTCAGGATAAACTTGTAGAATATCAACGATGCACGTGGAACTTCATATTTAGGAACAATTATCCTTTTATTTTCTAATTGAAGAGGGCAATTATGATTAGCATGATAATTAAAAAATAAAAAGGAAAAAGGAAAGAAAGAGCATAGTGCTTAGAGTTCATTATAAAATGGTACCCTAATAAGGATAATTCTCCACTGATAAGATAAAGTAATTTTCCTAATGTATATTTAATAAAGTAGAAACTCATTCGAGCATCGATTCCGAGATATTTTTGTGAAATTGTGCAGAGCTTTATCAAGCCACATTGATAAGGGTGTACTTTATGGAGTATCGACTTCCGTTACAGTCCTCGAAACACTTCTACCACAATAGTTCTCTTTATCCATTATTTTTGACACTCTGAAACTCCTATCCCTCTATTTCGAAGATTGATAAATAATTTTCTATTGAAAGAGCGTCGCTCGTATCACAATAATAATTTGTGTGTCGATATCTACAACTTCTCTGACGTTATTATTATTATAGATTTACTGAATTACGCGGTAAATACGTGAAAAAAATGTAATTACGAATGCAAAGAGACATCAATTTCTCTGTCTCACTTTGACCAGAGAAGGAAAAAAGTTTACTGCCCATTTTTGCGCAATGACAAATGACAAATTAATGGAAAAAGTACGTACACGTGCGTACTTTGGACGCATAAAAGAAACGAAAGCAAAAGATTGAGAGTTCGAATCTTATTGAATGGAACAGCAAGGGTTCTTGATGCTTCCACTAACATTCGTACAGATTTCTATGTATGCATACATAGTTTCCCTCGTTGGAGGAAGAAAAAAAATTCCCAAAGGTCAAGAATCTATCATTTCGACGAAATTAAGAATAAATATCCTTTAATAAAATAATTTGTGTAATTAGTTTCGAACCCTCAGCACTCACCTTTTTGTAGAACTAAATTTCATTTTGGGATGTATGTTAATTAGAAAATATTTTATATTTTTCTTTCTTTTAATGACTTTACATGTATATGTAGCATGTACCAAGAAGCTGGCGTCAGGTAGGTCTGTGTTGATATACCGGGTCGACGACATGGCTCTACTATCACCAGGTTCCGCTGCGTGCGCGGTATACGACAGAACCGATAAGATGACGAGAGGTAACCAACGTGCGATGCACTCGCTTTCAACCACTTCCAACAATGATGGACAACCATGAAGAAGAGTAGCTCTATTTTCGATAGAATTTTTCCTACCCTCGCTCGTAAAGAACAAAGACATCCTCCTTTAACCCTTAAATAACAGAGCCTGGGTCAATCGTGTCGCAAATTACAAGAAAATTTACAGGGAATAATTTTAAAGTAACAGTAAAATGCGAAATTAAATGAAATTAAAATTCTGGCTCTCTCCATGGTCCGCCATCCGATGGTTAATGAAAGGCAGCTTAGGTTGCATCTACTGTGTTATATTCCAAAGAGGAGGCTTTGTTAACCCTTCTAGTATAGAGCTGAGAATTGTAAACCACGTAATTGACACAAGATTTACAATTTTCCCCAATGGAAGAGCATACCTATGCCGTTAGAAACGTGTCATCCTAGTCACACAAATTGCACCCTTAGACTTTTTGCTGAGCTTACATATCCGCCCGCGATACTTCGGAATACCTGAGAGAGTATTACGGTTGCATAGCGGAGGTTTCGTTAAAATTACGAAGAGCCAGAAACGGGCGGGGTAGCTGAATATCGAGCGAGCGAAAGAAACAAAGAAAATACTAAAACCAAGTGTGTGCATGTGGTTGTGGTCGCCGGTAATATTCAACCGTCTAGACACTAGACTCTCTTTGTTCATTCCGGGGGCTGATTTTCGGGGGTTGTTGCTGGTCGAGCGTAGGGTAAAACGTAAGCACGAACGGAGGAATGAACGAGTCAACCGGGGAGGAAAAGAGGAATAGATAGAAAGGGAGGAGGGTTACACGAGGATAACCCCTGAAGAAGTATGCATGTGTTTTAGGTCTGCCCGACGATCGACACGTTCGTGATCAACGACGACGAAACTGTGGGCCGTGTCGGTGCACGCGCGACCGCCCGTCGTTTTTCAGTCTTCTTTTCTCGAGTAGCAACGCTCAGTTAACGATGCTCACCTAACCAATTGACTTTACTTTCCCGTCTCTTTCACGTCCGACCGCTACTCGTTCAACCGTGCCAATATTATTACCTTCTATCATGCCCGATTTTCAAAAATTCGAACTTTAACATAAAACTATGACAGAGACGCGTCTGTCAGAGACTTACCACGCGTCAGTTTAAAGTTTCAAGAAAATTACTACCTAATTAGATCATCGATATTTTTTACGTGAAATGACTGGTTTTTAATTAGAACATGATAGAAATGAATTTTGGAGAACGTAAAGTCTGATGAGAATTGATGACATAAATGGCACTTATGGCACATCAATTTAAAAATTACCATGTATATACTTCATTAGTATTGTTAATACAAAATGAATGGTAGCCAATTATGGTAAACGATGATCGATTTGGAAATATATAAAGTGTATCACAATTTCATGACATAAAAGTCACAAAATAACGTTTGTGATATATCAATTTAAAGCTTAAAATTCGTCGATGTTCCTCAAATGAAGATTTACAAATATTTCAAAATCCAAGAACCAGCGACACGTATCCACCAAGTATTTAAACTGTCCACCACGAAAAACTTCACCGATCTATCTCATCGAAAAACACAGAGAAAACACAGAATAAAGTTTCTAATATACAGGGTAATACCAAAGACTAAATTTTCACGAGTGCACGCGTTCATCTGCGTGCTCGAACTTTCTTTCTCCGTGCGAGTATCGTTAACCGGTAACATTCCTTCGCGGAAATATAATCGCGAAAGTTCGCGGGGACTTCATAGATATCGCGGAGGATTTCAAGTATATATATACACGTGTATCTGTCTATGTACATCGGGAAGAAGTGGAATGAAGAAGATCAGAGGAGAGGTAAGACAGAAGCAGAGTCCTTTGCCCCTGAAGCACGGGGCAGGATGTACACGTGGCTTACCATGGAGCATTATCTAGAGCGATATACCGAATGTCGAAGGACGAATC